TGTTTTAAGTTTTTATTTTATTCTTTTTTAACTTTATATATTTTGCTTTAAGATTTTCTTATCTAGACAACTTTATACTCTTATTTTTATATTTTATTTTGTAAGTTTATTTTATACTCTTGAAGCATAGCACTATTAAAACATAGCAAAGGCCCTTAAAAATGTTACACCTCATATCACCAAAATACCAGATGAATAACCATGTGCTTGCACATGGGTGTCTGTCACGATTATTTTGAGAACTAGAAAAAAGCCAGAACAGGTCCCAGATTAACAATGTCCCAGATCTGCAACCTCCATACCCAATCTCATATAAATGGTGGTTTTCTGAACACTTAATTTGGGCCAAAAAATTGATATTTGGCCCTGTACTCCGCAGCAGTTTATTATATTTCTACATATGGGTAGTTTTTGAAATCATTTAACACCTTGATTTGGGCCAAGTGATCGACAACTTGGCCCAGAAGTTCAATTAGTGGTGGTAATTTGAAATTGTATTTTGGCAAAAAACTATCTACTAATTAATATAGTGAATATGTTCTGAGATTTTCCTAGAAGAAAGATGACTTAAATCTTAGTAGCTAAACTATATTTTTACTTTAAATATAATGAAGCGACTAAATTGAAATATTAGAGTTATTTATTCTAGTTTCTTTAAACTTTCAAATATAGCAATTTTGTTTTAGTATTAATTTGTTACTAATAAATTGTATTTAATTCGTTTGATTAGGCAATCAAAATCTTTGAGGTAGCAAGCGAACTGGTAACTAATAAATTAGATTCACTAAAACCTTAATCATATGCATATAAAAGTGTTGAGTTTGATTATTAATAAGGTTAGTATGTGATTAAGAATTATAGTATTGATGTTAAAGCATTGTGTTTTAAATGCTAACAAATATTATTTTAATTATAGTTTACTTACAACTTTGATTTATCTCTCTTTTTCGGTTCAGTTTATAATTAATTAATTCATTTGATTTAGAATTTAGAATTAGGAACTTAGTCATCACTTAGATTATTAATTCTGGTGTTGTGTTTGACGAAGTGATAGTTTGAATAAGAGTTTATTTCATTGTGAATATATTTGATACATGAATATAATAAATATGAATATACTTAATTTACATTCTTATATTTAGAATTTATTTTTGTATATAGTGAGTGAAGTATTGAAGCGACAAGAGAGCAACTATAAAGGTAATTAAATATTCATTAATAAAATAGTTTTATTGTTTTTTCAGAGAATGTTTAGAAATTAAGCGAAGCAACTAATTTGGAGTTTAAAGCTAAGTATTTATTAACTTAAACAAAGATCTAAAAGTATGAATATAGTATATAAAACTTAGTACTATATTTTCTTTATAGAATTTAAAATTAGAGAGAAGTAAAGAGGTTAAGGATTCTATTTGCAAGTTTGTTTATGTATTTGTTAATCTAGGTTTAACTATATTAAGTAGAGTGAATGATTAAATTCATATATAGTATGAAATGTTATTTGAAATGATAAGCGAAAATAAGATCACTGAAATTTTAACTATTAAAAAGGTCTGTATAGATTATAAATATCATTATTCGATAAATGTAATACAGAATAATTGACTTTATTAGATAAGTTATTACATTTAACTATAGTATTTGATTAGTATATTATATTTTTTTTCTGTAGCTCTTGAGTTTCAATATCAATAATCTTTTTTTGAATACTATTGTTAATTCTAAAATATAACTCAAGATATTCATTATAATTAATGCCTACAATCTCAGAACTATGGTTTACAAAAAACATATCCATCTTATCAAACCAAAAGATCACTTCTCATTCTTTTGTTTCAGTATTTTTAATACATAATTGAAAATCATTCAAATTATTTGATAAAATAAAACAAGGAATTCTATCGAATTCATGTGATTTATACATATCCTCAGTGTGTTTATCCCTAATTCTATATTTTTTTAAAATATTAATAATTTGTTTCTTCATGCTTAAAAAAATTACTAACACATTGGCATCTTTCTTTTCAATTACAATATACTTGTTCTCATTTACAAGTTCAAAAATATGATGTTCAGCTTGTTGACTCTTGCTCATTGAAAAAGTTCTATCTTTAGACATTTCCTTATTAAATTTATAAAACTTTGATAAATATGGATGATATTAATATAAATGTTTTTTCATTTTAGATTTAGAATTTAATTCAACTTACTAATTTTGCAGTGTTTTTATATTTTTTTTAAAAAATAGAAAACTATTTTTGCTAGACAAAAACTTCTTAATTATATCAAAGAAAAAATATTAGCCTGATATAAAAAATACTAAATAAAAATTAACTCTTAAATAGAAATCATAAACCAATAAAAATTTATTTGATGATTATTTACCAGTCATAGGACATGTCCACATATAAGGGCTTAGAATGTTGTTACTTATAAATCAAATGAGTTGACTCACCTAATTT